AGGAATAACCATAGTGACAATGCCGCGTTTAGGGTGGGAGCTGGCAGGAGACGGGTTAATGTAATCCGGTGTTACTATCTTATGACCCGGAAACTCTGAAAGTAAATTGCTGCCAGCGAAGGGGGAGAGAAAGCTAGTAGACAGAGAAACTTTGGGAGCATGAAATGAACTCAGTGATGCCAGACGTAGTGACTTAGGTAATGGAAGCATAACTCGGGTCGTCGGCAAGACGTTTGAAGCCATTGGATAGGAGAGTATGAATACGGTGGATCCGGATTAGCACAGTGATTCCTACCCGCCTGCCCCGCCCAGAATAAGCATCAAAATATAGGGGCTGTTTACCCAAAATGTAAGTCATACCTTATAAAAACACTTGCTTTCATATGATGATGTGTTTTCAGTATCTTGGACCAGCTTTACTTTTCAATTTAAATTGTAGATATTTATTCTAGCTTAGTAGTTACTTGTTTTTTATATGGAATCTTATCATACCCTTTGCTTTTCATTCTTATTTACCAGGGAAATGTAGCCTATGCTTGTGACTTCTTTACTGAGGATTATATCCAAAAGAGCATGGTAGATTTTACTTGAAGTATTTCACACTTTCAAGTTGAATAACCATAATCATGGTGCTGCAATAAATATGGAAAAGATGTTACCAATAGCAATAAATGTGGAAGCAATTAAGTTGTATGAGTTGAACTTTGCTTCTGTGAAGCACTTTGATTTTTCTGTTCAGCTGATTAAAAAAATGTCCAAAGCTATGGGAATTTTTAGTTATTAATCTGATGTATATTTTTTTATCAATATACAAGTATAACTTAGTTTTTAGCTATGTATATTTTTTTAGCTTACACTTCTTAAATTTGTGAACAGGAGCGGCTAGATGGTCTTTACTGAAATTGTGCATACTCCAAGTGCTACTTCAAGGGACCTGAAATGAGAGCAAATTGATGGATTTATATACTTGAATGAGTTCAAAGTTTTATTGTCTGTTTTGTTGTATCTTAAATAATTTTAAATACGTGAGTTGAATACTCGCAAATTTTTGCATTTTAATGTTTTGATTAGTTGCATGGAATTGACTTTGAAGACACAAATCTTATCAATATTACAATTATATGAAAGTATTTTATTTGCTATTTTAGTTGTGAGCTCGAAATGGTGTTTGAAAAAGGGAAAAAAACTTGAAATAGTGTAGCTTGTATGTGTATTTGTGTCATTGTGTGTATATAGACATGGGGATTTAGTGGTACAACTATATGGGCAACGTATATAATACAAATGCATAAAAAATTGTATAGGCAACGAAAAAGTAGACTTTCGTTGCACAAAATTACGACGCAAAAAAATAGTATGGGCTACAATTGATTATATATAGTTGCACTAAGGATATATGTGCCACATAGAATTGTAACACACAAAAGTAATTGGTGCTACAGTTGATAAATTTTGTTGCACAAAGTATAGTTTTAGGCAACGAAAGTCAATGTTGCACAAGCATTATTATGGGCAACAAATATTTGGGTCGTCACATAAAGTATAAAGGGCCACGATGCTTGGGCAAGGACCTTGTGACGAATTTGACTTCATTGCACAATGAAATGGGCAAGGAAATAGCAACCTTTGGCAACGAAATTTTCTGTTGCACAAAACTATTTTTCTTGTAGTGTGTAGAAAACACTGTTTACACACTGTTTGGCACTGTTTGACACTGTTTTGCACTGTTTGGATGTAGATTTCTTTGCCAAACAAGGAAATAAGAGAAGTGTGACTTTGTTTTTGAAACAACTCAAAAAGGAAAGTGTGAGTTTCTTTTAGAAACGGAGGGAGTGTGTTTTTTTTATTATAATAGTCGTAGATTAAATAATGGATTCTTTAGTTCTATATAATAGGGCACACCAAATATGAGAGCTCGAAAGTTTTCACCTAGTACGTAGTACGATAGTATAATACAGTAAGAATTTAAACAAAAATGCAATATGACTTGATTGTGAACCTCACCTTGAGTAGCGAGGGTGACGTCTAAATTAATAATAACAAAGAATAGAATGCATATGAGAGCGATACCACTGATATTACTACCCATATTTCACTTCTCGAGCAAGTGTTTATCAAGAAGGTTAACTGTTATACGTACAGGTGTAAAAGGATGTGTGTAGTATTTATAGTTGTGGATTTGTATATGGTGGAGAAGAAATGTTGCAAATTAATGTTTCACTATTTTGAGAAATTACATACACGTATCCTAACGGAGTAACGGATACACGTATCAACCTAGGCCTTTTTATAAATAAAATGCACAAAGATTAAATAATAAAAGTACCAGAAAGTATAAAGTAAAAACAAGTTCTACCTATATCCCACATATGATTTTGACCAATGTTGTCATTTACTCATCTCTAATTCGCTTTATCCCGAATTTGCTCTTAGAGAATTGCATAAAGTCGCAATGGCCAGTCCATAATCTATTAATGAACGTACAAATGTACGTACATCATTGCCTTTTATACAAGAGACCTAATAATTACTTTACAAAAATAGTTGATATGCTACATATAATTTCCTAATTTAATTTATCACAAGGAATACTTCCTAAAATGCATAGTCAATCATACGTTACCACCAACACACCCCTCAAGGATAGCAAATAATGGTCCAAGACTAACCATTTTGGCCCAACACGTACATTGCCTTACTCAGAACCCATATATGATCAATACTTGGTTGCTGCGTCTTGAGCAGTTCATACAGAAACATAACCACAAAATTGTTGTACACAGGCAACACAACTATATCTCCCTACTTTGAGTGTTTCCAAATGCAATGATGTTGCAGTTGTTGTATGTTCTCCAATAGTAAATTCCTTCCAAGTATGTGTTGCAACAAGATCTGCTCATTCAGTCGCTGCAGATGTTATCTTCTGCTTTTGAGTGTTTCCAAGAATCAGTGCCCAATATATAAACTGAGAGAATTGCAGGATTCCAAAGTGTTGGGAAAGTGAAAGAGAAATGGCCTTCCTTATGGCAGGATTCCAAAGTGTTGCCTCTCCTTGATCAATGATCATTGTACAGCGAAAATATCTCATTAAACGGGCCAATTATTTCCCACATATCAAAATGTGGGTATTCTGGTGTAATATTGATATGAATGAGAAGTAAGAACTTCATTTTCTCCATCTTTTATTTGTCCTAAGGCTATGTTTGGTATGACGTAATCAACCATGTAATGTAATGAGCATTACATGTTGATTTGATTACGATGTTTAATTTGGTATGTCATTTTATTTTAAACTGTAATGTAATGGTCATTGCGTATGTGAAACTCATTACTTTGATTTGTGTAATAAGCATTACATTAAACAATAAGTTTACATCTTATACCATGTAGTGGGTGGCCCGATCCCGGCCCAGGCCGGGCCCTGAGACGGGTTTGGGAGGGACTAAAAGTTTGGGTTGCAGCTCGGTACCGTGTCGGGTTTGTACCGGGGCCGGGCCGGGCCGGGCCGGACACAATTGTTTTTTAAATTTATCCCGACACACACACACACTACACACACACTGCACACATTGCACACACACACACACACTGCGCGCGCACATACACACTGCGCGCGCACACACACACTGCGAGCACACACACAGTACACCGCACACACACAAATAAACAAACATAATTACGTAATTGGGTCATGGTTAGAATCCATGGTACCATCATATTTTTTTTTTGAAATGCTCATGAAAGCGGTTAATTAAAAAGCTAACTGAATTGGCTAGTATGGATTTACTAATTCAACCGACTATTAACTAGCAAACAACTGTGATTATCAACCATGACCGTTAGTAACTTTTGAAAACGTCATAAACATTTGCAGTTGGGAACAAAGTAATAGTGCACCAACTACAAATGTTTATGACGCTATCAAACACATATTTAAACCTCCACTTTTGATGACAAAATAAAAGTAAAAGGACAGAAAATGTCAATTTCACAATACTTAGGACATGAAATGTCAAAAATTCTAAAGTCAGTGATCAAAGTGTCTCACTCCCAAAAAAAATTACCAATTTGTCACTAGAGGTCTAGAGCTTCTTTTTTACCAATATGTCTCAATTAGTGTTTTTTTTCCCGATTTGGTAGTCTACCCTTTTATTTTTACCAAATTGGTAATTTGGCCTATGTAGTTATCCAGTTTAACCGTATGTTTTTACATTTACAAAATTTATGATATTATTTTTTTTGTTAACCAATAAAAAATTAACACATCAATCATTAATAACTTAGTTTTACTATATAAACCATATACTACCTCCGTCCCGGTGGACTTTGCCAAGTGCAAAGTAGGTGGAAAATAAAAAAAAATGAAAATTGTGTGGTTAAAAATTATGCAGAGGAGAGAGACAATGTGCAGAACCACAAATTAGTTGCTTTATTATAAAAGTGACAAAATTTTATAGGATAATCAATAAGGGAAAGTTGGCAAAATCAATGAGACGGATGGAGTATAACATACAAAGTATATTGTTGGCCCGTATAATTCAAAATTCCATGACCCGTCCAAATTTAAACGGCGGAAAATAGTTTACACTCTCGGTTTTACCCCGCCCCCATGAATTCCCAATTTCTAATCGTGGGCTGTAGGTGTGAATTGAAATAATTAATTTGGTGTTGAATTGAAATTCAACGAAGTAATCATGGCAAAACGAGAGGGTTATTTAAACAATAATTAAATAAGTTAATTTGAGTATATTTTGAAAAATAATTTTAATAAGTTTGTAATACTCCGTATAGTGGAGTTAGTATTGATAAATGTGATATTATAAATGTAATTTTTTCAATATTCAGTGATTAAATTGTCATTTCAAATTGTAAATTGATTTCTAAAATAGAAATGAAAACCTTTATATAAAACGTCCAAAAAACAAAAGTAGGAACTTTTCTATGGAAAAGATGGAGTATCATTTATAATATCTACATATTACATCCCGTGTAACGCACAGGTGGAATACTAGTCATCATAATTAGCAGTAAGAAAACTAGGCAAACAAGACAATTATTGTAACATCGAATCATTCCAACAGTAAGTAAAACAAATTTATTTATTCCAGGTTGTGTATACAACACACATTTATTTACTTTTTGTATACGTTTAGATATTATGGAGTACAATATACGTAGTATTGTGTATATTAGTATTTATAAGTTTTAATTGTAATAATCTAATCTTTTTCGGCCTGCTAATGACAGTCTCCCCTTTTACTTAACCTTTCGAAACTCCGTTGTCTTTAACAAAAAATCTGCAATCTCATTTGATACGCAGACGGGGATTTAAATTCGAAGAAATCAATATTGGATTATTCTGAAAAAGAGTAAGAGGTGAAAGTGTTATAAGCAGGTAACAAAAGAGTAGATTATTAGAATCAAATTTTGTAAATTTTGATCCAGCCTCAATTATTATAGGAAAATGAATTTTCTGGGGAAAGAGGTGGAGGAGCATAACATTTAAAGGTGCATATGCAGCGGTATTTCTTTGGTAATTCACAAACTGAAGATATAACGGGAGCATTATTGGTGTAGTTTGGACAATTTTTAGCACAGAAATCATCTGTACATGGTGGTCGATCAATATAGGCCGTACATGTTTTCGTCGGTTGCTTGCCAGGATCTGCACCAAAGAAATTAAATGAAACAAAAGTAAGATCGAGCACCATATTGATCCTCAAATTTAAATAAACAAAGGCCGTTTGATGGATTTGGAAGCTTTGATTTCAAATGATGAAATGAAGTCTTCTAAGGGAGTGTTTGCAACTGCTTAAAAAAAAGCACTTCTCAGCTTTTGGCTTTAAAAAGCACTTATTTACCAAACACTACCAATTTTTACTTTTTCTCGGCTTGCGTGTGAAAAGTACTTTTCCCTTTTCTATTACACAAAAAGCACTTATTTTACCAAACACTACCAACTTTTACTTTTCAAAATCACTTTTTTCTCAAACACTATCAACTTTTACTACCAATCACTTTTTCATTACTTCTCCAAAAGTGCTTTTTTTTAAGCAGAAGCAGTTGCAAACACTCCCTAAAGCAAGAAAGAACATACTCCGTATAATTTAACAATGAAATACTCCGTATAAAATTTAAAATATTTGAAATGCACAAATTCGACAAATCTTTTCGAATCAGGATATTACATAAGATCTAGAAAATCAATATTCAACTACCACTCCGTATTAGTCTACTACATACTAAATATTTGAAGGCCCGCTATAAAAGTGGGTATTGCTGCCAAACATCTATTCCACCTTCTAAAACACGGACATCAACTTAACTATATGTATTTTTGTTATTATTATAATTATTATAATAATAATTGTGGATTAAATAATCGGTCTTTAGATCTATATACGGAGTATATATAATAGGGCGCACCAGGCCAAATATGGGAGCTCTAATTTTGTTATAATACAGTAAGAGTTTAAATGAAAATGCAATATGACATTAATTAAATATAAGAAAGTTATTGATAATTAAGCCTCACCTTGAGTACTGAGGGTGACGTCTAAATTAAAAGTAACAAGTAAGATAATGCATATAAGAACAATACCACTGATCTTGCTACCCATATTTCACTTCTCGACCAAGTGTTTATCAAGAAGGTTAATTATTATATAGGCATAAACTAGGATGTGTATGGTATTTATAGTTCTTGTGGTGTAAGGTGGAGAAGAAATGGTGTAAATTAATGTTTCACTATGTAACACGGATACTTGATTAATGTATCATTGTATTGAAAACGTTCTCTAATCTTGGATACATGTATCCTAATGGATACACATATCAACCTTTAATAAAGAAAATACACAAAAATTATAAATAATATTTAAAGTATTGGATAGTAAGAACCAAAAACAAGTTCTACCTATATCCCACATATGATTTTGACTATTGTGGTCATTTACTCAACGCTAATTCGCTTTAATTTATCCCTATTTCGCTCCTAGAAAATTGCAGAAAGTCTCAATTTAGAGGTCGTTTGGCAACACTGTTTTTGGGTTTAACAGGCTTATCAGCTAACTTTTTCACCAAATACGTTATTTTTTCTTTCACGCGCTGAATTGTGTAATAAGGAGGAAAAGTAAGGTTGAAGTTACTTTTTTGGCTGTATTGGCTGAAGTTATTGTAGGCGACCATTTTAGCTATTTTTACATATATTTTTTCTTTATTTTATTAATAAAATATATTTTAAAAATAATTTTGTCTTAAATCAGCAGAATCAGCCAATGCAGACACTTCAGCGAGAACTTCATAAATTTCAGTAGAATCAGCCAAAACATCTGATTTTCGTGCTACCAAACGGGCTCTTAATCGATCTACTGTTTTTTAATCATACGAAGAGAAGAGAATTAGTTCAAATTTTCTTCCAACAACTAAGAATCATACTCCCTCCGTCCCGTAATTAAGTTCCTACTTTCCTTTTTGGGATGGTCCATATTAAAGTTCCTACTTCAAACCTTTCCTTATTTGGCAAACAGTGTCAAACAATGCCAAAGAGTGTTTAAACAGTGTTCAAACAGTGCACTCCACAGTAAAGTCAAATTTATTTCTTAATATGTGTGAAGGTCAAACTAGAAACTTAATTAACAACGGAGTATTTACAGGAGTATGTGTTTGTAAAATACGAAGAGAAGAGAATCTCATTACGTATTGCACATTGCTTTATATTGGGTACTGCGCCTTGAATTCACTTAAGCATTTATAATACTCAAATCCTCTAATTTTTAATATTTAGAAATACACTCTTATAATTTTTAATATCTATAAAATACTTTTGTGTCTGTATTCTATATTTTTTCGTCATACTTCTGTGAGGCGGATTCAAACTAATGTCCGTTTAATGCTCTCAGCACCTATCCGACTTCCCCTTCACTACTCTTAGTCTTGAGTAACACTTTTTTCATCCAATCCAAAGAGAATCACATATGTTGGTAATGATGTTGAGATTAAATGGACATTAATTTGATTTCACTTTGAGAAGAAGAGAGGGGAACAGTAAAGTTGGAGTAGAGGTCGGGAATATATATTCATTGGGCATTAGTTTGAATTCACATCAATTTATTCTCGTGGACATCATTGCTAGTTTGAATTTTTTATGAGCACTCTCACTAGCAATTATTATTGTAAAATATCTAAAAGTAGAGATTCATTTTAGGAAATAATTAGTACCCTTAAGTGATCATGTACGTAGTCATCAAATATTAAGAGTAATTCACATCTAACATCACAGTTATCATCAATGATCTCATTATTATATCATATTAATGCCCAATAAGAGTATCTCCAGCGGTTAGCTAATTGCTCTCATAGCTTGACTAGCCACATAAGCATTTGTATCAATATTGAAATATACTCCAATGGTTAGTTACAACCTTTTCCTCTTCGTTTATTATTGGGATAAGGGTCAGATAGGGCCTCGAACTCGAAAAAAAATGTCAAATAAGGTCATATTTCGGATGCTCTGTCTGGCCGACGCCATTTGGGGCGGTTCCCGATGGAATTTTTTGATGAAATTTTTTGACCATCTTCCTCATTAAGTCTAGTTTACCCATACCAAATTTCAGCTAAAAACTCAACCGGGAAGGTAGTCAAATGAATTTTTGAAGATAACTGTGAAGTTAAACAACGCCGTACATTTTGGAAAATTATTTGACTACCTTCCCGGTTGAATTTTTAGCTGAAATTTGGTATGGGTAAACTAGACTTAATGAGGAAGATGCTCAAAAAATTTCATCAAAAAATTCCATCGGGAACCACCCCAAATGGCGTCGGCCAGACAGAGCATCCGAAATATGACCTTATTTGACATTTTTTTTCGAGTTCGAGGCCCTATCTGACCCTTATCCCTTTATTATTTATAATACAATAATTAATAATTCTCTTTGCTCAAACTAGTAGCTCATTTTGGCTAATTAGCTTTCTTAAACAAAAGGAAGAGCAATACTCCAATGGTAAGCTAGTAGTTTCAAAATTGCAAGCAAGTCCTTAGAAGCAATCATCGGAGATGCTCTTATACGTACTCCCTCCGTTCTCCAATACTTGTTCCCTTTATATTTTGGGTTTTTTAATGCCTGTCTCCCTTTCTATTTTTAGAAAGTTTTTTCAATAAACATACATATACACTTTCATTTTTTTCCTACTTTTTCATTTTCTTTTCTACTTTTTCATTTAAACACAACTCACTGCACCTTTTACACTACCCCTATTATATTCTTCTTAAAACTTGTGTCAACCCCTATAAGGACAAGTACGGGAGAACGGAGAGAATATTATATTATAGATTCATTAAAATTATTTCTCAAAATCAGGGACGTAGCTAGGGGTGGGCCAGACTTGGCCCTGGCCCTGCCCAAATTTTAAAAATGTCTTTATTTTTAGTGTAAAAAATTTCGTGTAAATTTTTTTTCAAAAATATTCTTTGTGCCAGCTCTGTCTGGCCCAGTGTCCTGGCTCCGCCCCTGCTCAAAATATACCCCAATATTTTTATTTTATCATTGTCTAAATGACTGCGTCGAAACCTTAAACCAAAAACGGAGCTAGTATCCAATCAGACCGATAAGTCGAGAATTAAAGTTTCCAAACTAACTCTTCCCAAACTTATGCTCTGTGTCTTATACGGAGTAAAGGTTTTGATAATAAACTAGTTTTAAAATATTTTTTCATACAAGAGTAACTCGATCATGAGCAATTCATGACGTCGACTTGTCATAAGTTTTTTATTTTAATATTTATTGTTTCAGTACTTATTTTTTATTACTTCATTTTCCTAATTAATTATTTAATTAAAAATTAGGAACATAGAAAGACGGAGTGGCCCGCTGCGTGTTGCGAAGCATATTGGCGTCCCCGCAAGGTGAGGGTCTAGGAAATGAAGCACAAGTCTCAAGTTTTTTTATAGAACATACAATTGAGAAGTTTTAAGGACTTATATACTAAAACTAAAATCATAAAATTATTGTGTTAGACATAGTGGTAACTATGTTGAGCTTTAAATACTCTTCTTTACTACTTAATACACAGTAATAGTGAAATCAGAGTTTTTACCCAAACAAGTAAGTCTGAAATCTTATTTCCCAAATAAGGGTACTTTTAAACTTATTTTCCAAATGAGAGTAGTTTTTTCCATGTCATCCAATTTTGCCACGTCACCTATTTTAGGTCATCAACCAGCCATTCCATGTCATCAACCACATTTGGGTGCGCTAATAAAATATATAAAAACTTTAACGCCCCAAGAATTGTCATACAAGAGTAACTCGATCATGAGCAATTCATGACTTGTCATAAGTTTTTTATTTTAATATTTATTGTTTCAGTACTTATTTTTTATTACTTCATTTTCCTAATTAATTATTTAATTAAAAATTAGGAACATAGAAAGACGGAGTGGCCTGCTGCGTGTTGCGAAGCATATTGGTGTCCCCGCAAGGTGAGGGTCTAGGAAATGAAGCACAAGTCCTAAGTTTTTTTATAGAACATACAATTGAGAAGTTTTAAGGACTTCTTTAGTGATACTAAAACTAAAATCATAAAATTACTGCGTTAGACATAGTGGTAACTATGTTGAGCTTTAAATACTCTTCTTTACTACTTAATATACAGTAATAGTGAAAATTAAGTTTTTTCCCAAACAAGTAAGTCTGAAATCTTATTTTCCAAATAAGGGTACTTTTAAACTTATTTTCCAAATGAGAGTAGTTTTTTCCATGTCATCCAATTTTGTCACGTCACCTATTTTAGGTCATCAACCAGCCATTCCATGTCATCAACCACATTTGGGTGCGCTAATAAAATATATAAAAAATTTAACGCCCCCAAGAATTGAACCCAAAACCTATTGTACATTTTTTCTTAGCTTGAAATCCATTGAGCTACTTTCAACTGCTGATACAATTTGTTCTCTACGTTTATTTAACAGATACGGAAGTATATGTTTAACTACATGACTTAAATAGTTAGAGAATATGATAAAATACTTAATTTCAGATATGCAATTAAAAAGTAAAACTCAATTCGAAATTATAATACAAAATTAATGTGATATATCCAATTAAATAATAATTTAAAATAACTCTACACTAAATAAAATATGAAACAAATAAATGTCATGACTAACTCGCCACAAGTTTAATGAAAAGCTTATACTTCGTATTAATAATGTAAAAAATATAAAAAGACGGAGTATATTATTCGTCGTTTACACTTAATTTCGTGAACAAAAAATAAAATATCCCAACACTAAAGTGGATTACGACTTCGAATGGAATTTATTTATTTTATATTTTCTTTAGTGTAGAATTGTTTTAAATTATTCTTGAATAGCATATACTAGTATCAAATTACATTTTTGTTATAACTTTTAATTGAATTTCAATTTTTAATGCACATCTGAATTAAATTAAGCATTTATCAATTGGAAATTAAATTAAAAAGAATATTAATTTCAAAAGAATATGACGAATTACATTAAAAAAGAATATGATGACTACTTGGTTTCAGATATATCAAACGAATATAATACTATTGCATTAAATACTCGCAAAGATGAGAACATAACAATGGTTCAATGTATTGCAGTGGTTTCCAAGCAAAATTTCATCAACTGTGTCGAGGGTTCAACTCTAGTTGGCCTCAATTTTTTTAATATTTTATTAATACACCCAAATGAGATTACATGGAATGATTGATGACAAGGAATGACCAGAGGATGATGTGGCACG